TTTTGTGAGAAAAAAATTATTTAATTATTATTTGTTGTTGATTTCGCATAAATATTGTTTAAAGTTATCTAAGTACACAGTTATCAAAAGCATTTAAACAAATATACATTTAAAGCATCAGAAGAAGATGTTTCAGTTTGATTTTGATTTTTTTAAATTTATCAAATTAGTCGTATTGTTTTACAATTGTTGATTCTTACAACTATTCTTAACCTAAATAATATGCTTTGTATATTTTTCAGAAAGACGTTGTATTTATTTAAGATTGTATTATTCGGATAGATATTTTATATTGCTTACTGCGCAAAATGTTCTTGTGTAATCCACCTTTGGCTACCAGTTTGGGCACTTACCAAATTTATTTTGTACAATATATCAATTTTAATGGTATCCCAGCAGAATCCGCAAGATAATTATATTTATACATCCTAATTCTTCAACCCCACCACAAATCCTAACACTTAACTAACCAATATATATTGACCAAATTTTTTCCAGTCTAGCTGTTGCCTGCAGCTTTGCACGAGTAGAAGTACTTCAATTTCAACTATTTTCAAGAGATGTCAGTGATATTGTCAAAGTTTCTTATGCATTAAATTTTAATAATAATTCAAATTCTGTAAAGCAGCTATTAAATCACACAAACCACCGTAAATATGAGTTCGCTAGATTTCAGTATAGTAGGCAGCAGAAGTATTAAAATTATTTTCATCTTTGTCGTGAGATAAGATGGAAAATTCATCCCAATGCTCCATTACGTGCTGTACTACTTCCTCACACACTTCTCAAACCATGACTTGAGTATCGTAAATTATATATATGGTATTGCTCGAAAAAGACAAGTTCCGTGACCAATAATTGGTATGATAGTATGAGTCATCTCAGCCCCGTTTATGCTTAAAACTTCTAAATGAATTAAAAAAAAATATAAATGAATAAACCCAAGTAATTATCTCGTAACTAAATTATTTTCATTTCTATAAAAATATTAAATTGATATTTTTATAGAAATGAAAATTAACTATTTAGCACTAAAATTAATTATTTAGCACTACTGNTTCAAATATTAGTATATATAGCATAATAAATAGATACAAAAAACACGAAGAAAATTAAGAAAAACAATGAATTTTATTTATTGCGCATAATTTGCAAGTAAATAGAACTCTTGAACTCATAAAATAAGTTCAAAATGTAGAGAAAACAAAGGGAAAAATTGCAGAACAATCAAAGAAGGGGAAAAAAATAATAAGAAGAAAAATTACAAGAAACCGGAAAAAAAAACAATCCGAAAAAAAGAACAAAAATTTTAAAAAAATCTGGAAAATACCATTTCTATTTTTTTCCCCTTCTTTCATTGTTCTGTAACTTTTCCCTTGTTTTCTCTACATTTTGAACTCATATATATATATATATATGTATTAAAGAAAACTAATTTTTCTTTATTATCAATTTTAGGCAGCAGAAACATTATTTGTTTTTATATTTTTAAAAATTATTTAAACGTTTTCGTACGATAGCTCCCCCTTTCATAGGGAAAATCTCGAAATCCTTTTATATGCAGCAAAAGCGAATTTTCTTAATCTTTTAATAGTTTTGACCAGAAAAACTATTTGAATTTCATTAAAATTATTTAAAAAATAAGGAATATTTCATTTTTTCGCGTAACGTATTTGCCATTTAGGATTTGCTATAAATAATTATTTTAAAGCATGAATACATTATTAAAATACAATGCTCAATATAAATAATTTACGCAGCTGAATTCACAACCACTGAAGTATAAAACCCAGAGAATATATTTTTCCACTTGCATTGTGTGTATTCGCTGTAAGGTTATCATTCTGCAATTTATTTTGTTTTTATAAAGGCTTTTAGGAAGGTAAAGCTACTACAGTAAGAAAAGTATATATTTATTTCTTTATGTATAATGCCATTTTATAGCCCCGAGTGCTAAGTGGAATGCGTGAGATTTTTTCTGATAAAGGGGAAATGTTACGCAAATATATTTTACATCTTTCAAGCTCTCTGCATTAAGTGTATTATACATCTGTTGAATGTGAAACTATGTAATTCAATTTTAAAAAAAATATCTTAAAAAATGTACTTCCATTAACTTTCAGAAAACCTGCGAAACATCCATTTAATTCCTCCAGGATGCTGCAATCCGTAAATAGATACCTACAAGTCACGTCATCGTAGATAAGTCGTGGCATTTGTCGATTCAGATGCCAATCAGATTCGACACAGAGACGTGAAGTCGCTTACAAGTATTCAATTAAATCTGATTTAAATCACATGTTAAGGACTAATCACATCACTCCTTTTCGAATTGCATGTATCCAATTGTCGCCAAAAGCAATCATCAAAACGTACGGTGCATATCTTGATATCCCTAATATAATTATAACACAGTTAAGCAAATTGCTTAAGACTGTTTAAGAATGAAAAAAAAAATTAGATTTTTTTAATAAAAATATAAAATTTAATAAATTTTGATAAAAAAACACTATTGTAAACTGAAATATTAAAATAATTTTTATGGAAGGTTGGCCTTGTATAAAAAAAACGTTTCAAAAAACAAAATCGTGTGACATAATGCAATTTAAAACAGATTATTTTAATACATAACGTAAAGATGTAAAATTTCGATATATATTGTAAGATTTTGATATGTAAGATATAGCTCTAATATGTAAGACGTATGACGGGGATATACAAAATAAAACATTTAAGGCACACAATAGGTAGGAGACAAGATTTATATAGGTTTTATATAGGTTTCCTTAAAGTTATACTAAACTTAATATGTTTTAAAGTAGTCTGAGTAAAAAGAGCACTTTTCAATTTTTTAGAACTACTGAAGAGATACTATCCCTACAATAAAAATAAAATAAATTGAGTACATTTTTCATGACTATAATATAGCCTTGATTCAATTTTAAAATACTTTTTCGTCCGTTTTTTATTTGCATCTTTCCTTGAATTATTGTTAACGAAACATATATTGCCCATTAAAATGGATTTTATACTTACCTAAAACAGGTTACCTCTGCACTTTTTTTTAAAAGATCATGAGCTTTGCGATTATTGACACTCCATTCTTTGAAACATAAAACTGGTCAGAACAATAAAGAACTATATTAAAAGTTCTTTTTTGTGAAGTTGAAAACAATAGTGTCTTATTATAAATTTTTATTTTTTTTATCTTACTTTAAATATACTTAAATATTATGCTTAAAAGTATCTCTGATTCTCCATTTTCCATAATTAGAAAAAAAATGTTTGTTTGAAGGTATAAAAAATTAAACACACATTTTTGACAAAAAAACAATGTACATTACATGAAGATTATTATGATAACAGTTAAGTTTAATTTTAAAAGAACTATTTTTTGTGAATTTTCTCTTTTTGTTGTTTGTCATATCAAGAACATTGTGAACATCTTCCTCATTCATTTTGCCTTCCACATCACATTTGAGACTGCATTTTACTCAAAAATGTGTATACATGCTGTTTCAATTTTAAATACGTGGAGTTTTCAAATTTGATTACTATTAGTTTCGAGTCTATTTTAACACTTATTTGCTTAATTTTGATAAACACCTTTTATGTAAAACTTTAAGGAAAAAACCCTGACATTGAGCAGTACAGAACAAAATTACAATATTAAACTATAAAAAAACTAGCATTGTTATTGAAAAGAGTTACAATGTAAATCTAAATGAAAACCTGACTTTAAGTGTTACAGAACAAAATTATAACGTAAAACCCTGACATTGAAAAGTACAAAAGAAAATTATAATGCAAAAAATACTTATCAGTGCTAGTAGTTTATCTGTATTGGCACTATGTCATTAAAAACTAAGTAAAAGTGACACAAGCGCTGACAAGGTCCCCATGAGAAATCTTAAAATAAAATCCTTTTTCAATATTGAAAATTTAAAAACTTTATTCTCCGTTTTGTTTACATTAGATGATAAACCAGGCATTGTTGCAGTCAAAGTAATATCCAAATTTCTAAGAGTCCCATACAGGAAAACTTTTTTATCAAAATCGTAGAAATGGGACATTTGATATATTTAAAATGTAAAGATGATTATTCGAATGGTTAATTAAACTCAAAATTCTTTACTTCGAAAGTTTCAATGCCTGATACATCACCGATAAAAATTAAACGGAGCATAAAATTTGAAAATGAAATAAAATAAAGTGATAAGGAATATTAAGTTGTTCGCTTTTAGTAATGAAATTTGGTAAGAAAAAAAAATCTCACATACTTTTTTCCATAGTATCCTAAAGGTCCTGTAGAAAGAGAATATTTAAGAAGACCCCGCGGTCTCGTAGAAAGAGAATATTTAAGAAGACCCCTCAAAAGGTTTTGTCCGGAATCCCTGCATAGTATCAGCAATGGCTCCATCAGGGAATCGTTACATTTGAACTGAAGAGTTGAGTTGTAACATTAGGAGAAAGTCGTTAAACATTTATTTTTAGAAATAACAACAAATACCTATTTTTAGAGACATTTTAATTTTAAAAAAATTTATCGATATCCACGTATTCTTTTCTTGAAAGGCAGTAGTTCATTGTTAGCAAAATAGTTGATACGATTGAAAGTAAAAAACAATTAATTTCTTCATTATTATTCAAAAAAAATTCACATCAATAATTTAGAACAAATAAAGTACTCTGACTAAAGAAAAGGTCACTTATACACCTATACGGAAGTCGAAAGCTGTTACTCAAACGAGAAAACGATTTTTTAAAAGCAGCGAAATTTTATATTTTCATTGCAATTCAAACCAAACGATAATTTGATGTGTTTACATTTTATTGTATAAACATTTTGAAATTTTCAATACCGCCGGAAGAAGTGCTTTGTATAATTTGTTTTTCCCCTCTCGAATCATTGACTTCATCCGTTGCATAAGAATCTTATTTCACCTTGCCTACTTATTTCATTAACATCCGTTCTCGGCACAAAATGCGCCAAAACTCTTATCCGCGGAAGGAAATCTTCACAGGTAATGTCTTAAGAGCGGCGCATGCGTAGTAAAGACAATTGAGACAGTAGGCAGGTAAATATTCTTTCCGCCGCTTTTAAATGTGTTTCATTATGGAAGATCTTATTTTCTGAATTGCACGTGCGTTTATTTTATGTTGTTGCACTTGACATTCAGCAGGTAGCACTGCCTGATCAGTGTGAGAACTTAGCAAATAACAGAAATAATGTTTATGAAACATATCAAAGTTTTACTTTTATTTACAAGTATTCCTGCTTTATTTCAATTATTAGGTGAGTAAAATTCTTTGTTTCTGAAAATTAACAATCTGAAATATTTTTGAAGCAAAATTATTAAATGCGCTTTTTATTATTATAATAAAGCTTAAAATTGAAAACTTTATAGCTGGAACAATTAAATAATGAATAGACTAAGAAATCTTTAATTTTATTTGCTTTCCTTTCTTTTTTTAGTATGCTATGAAATATTGTTTTACATCTTATCAAATTTTTAAAATCAAATTGTGTTTTTTTTTTTGTTGAAAACTTCTTTTACATTGAATAGTACTTAAACATCATAAGTATATCATAAGTACTTAAGTAATAAGTACTTAAACATCATAAACATTAAAATAAAAATTAAAATATATAAAAAATTATACTAATTAAAATTCATAAAGTTTTCTAATAAATTAATGTTTACGACATTAATATTAAAACAAGACAAATTATTAATCAACAGATAAAATTAAACCGATTAAAATAAAAAAATAAGGATAAAATAAAAATAATAAATAAAATTTTAAATAAAACAATGAATAGAATTTCTTCTTTTCTTAAAATGAAACCTGTAAACATAAATGAGACGTACGGTAATGGAAATTCCAACCGCAAGTTAAAATATATTTTTGGTTAAATAAATAGTTTTTAATTTTGGCCTGAATTGAGAAATAAAATTACTCATGTACTTATCTATGCTTACATAATAACTTGAGTTTTTTAATAGCATTCTTTCTATGTTAAAATATATAAATCAGTCTGAATTAATAATATAATTTGTATTTTAAATTGTGAAGAGGAAGATTACTCTCACGCAGGGAAATATAAATTGAACAAATGAAAATTTAATTATGCGAAATGTCGCAACTTGAAAAATAACATTATTTCATCTCCTTTAAAAATAAATAGTACAACCAAAATTATTAGTAAATAACCAATTTATTGATTAAAAAGCTTTATTAAATTTTGTTTCAGTATGCGAAAACTATTAGACATATGAACTTAAAATTAGCTAAGTGTGTAGAAAATGTACTGGGAGCATTATGAAATAAAAATATTTAGTACTCGGTAATTATAGTTAGAATTAATAACTATTAAACTTGTAGCAAAAATACCCTGAGGGCATTTCTGCAGTTTACAGATATGCGACTAAAGATTCTTGCTGTAAAATCTTCCTTATTTATGAGCTTAGTTCAGATTTTTTTTCGAAATTTAAATTTTTCCAGAGTTTTTTAAAAAAAATTATCACTGCTATTTTTGGCCAATTTTTCTTATTTTCAATGCTTGAAAATATTTTTTTATCCATAGTAAGAAGAAAATTAATTTTTCTCACCTCAGGGTTTCATTTTATAAGCTCACTTTAATGTCAAAACTAACAAAAAAGAAACCCAAAAAAAAAGAGAAATTAGATGTTGCCAGATGTAAATTTTACCATTTATACTGAAATTTTTAAGATATAAAACACATAATTCAAAAGAGGTAAAATCAGTTTCCAGTTTGAACTGCTATAATGATACAAGATTATTTTTGGAGATCGTTGATGAGTAACATTACTTCTCAATAAATGCCTAAATCATGCATAAAATTAATTTTGTTTTCGAACTCAATTGTTTATATTTCGTATCCAATTAATATTTACTAATGTGTAAGTAAGTTGAATTATAATATGATGGAATAAAGTGAATTATACTTAAGAAGTCAAATAATATAATTTAACTTGGTTAAAGTAACTTAAAGTTTCGTGAAATTTATTCAACTATGTACAAAATATTGAACAGTATGTAGTAGCAGTAGTTAAACCTTCGTAATTGTTACTATAACAAGATCCACTGTAAACAATCATTATTATTTATTTGGTTTGTATTTGTCTAAAATGACTGTTTTTGATTTCCCTCACATAACAATCCCGATTCAACGGTAATCCCATTCTAGATACAGTAACACAATCCTATCAATCTAGAATTGACCTAAAAAGAAAATAGAATTCTAAATATTTGATGAGCCTTTGGAGGTGCGGAGTATGCAGGTAATGACCTGCTTTGCGTCTCTTTTATTTACACTTTCTAGCTTTTTTTTCTTCCTTTTATCATTTTCAAACTAAGTCAAAGGAAACGTTGAGTAGGTTTTTGACAAATAGATTTAATTTTTTTGCGGAAAAAATGTCAATTCGGAAAATTCTATTTTATTAAATAATTTAAAATTATATTTGAAATTTAAAGACATGTGGTAAATTTCTTTTTTAAAAAAAAATCGAAAATCACTTTATTAAAAAAAGCAAAAAGTTATTTTTGAAAAGAAACAAATTTATTATAAAAAGAAATAAAAAAGGCTGTTTATGAAAGAAAAACATCATTTTATTAAATAGTAATTATATTAAAAAGTAATCTTATTAAAAAGTAATTCTATTAAAATAAAGAAAAAGCCATTTTATTAACCCTATGAGCGGGAGGAAAATTTAATCAAAAATTTTAGTCAAAAAGAACCAGAGAAAATGTGGTCATCGCATGGACGTTCAGGATAAAGTGATTTGCTTATCTTATTTTTTTTCTTCAAAATTTGAAATGGTTGTTTTAAAAGAAATATGATTCAACTCTGAAATATCTTTTATGCTCGTGCTTGTTTTTTCCTTCGTAAACTTAATACGGAAAAAAAATCGGTCGCGTGACGCGGGCACAACTTTAATTGCAAGATAAGAATAAATCAAATGAAAGAACAGAATTAAAACACATACTGCTGATAATTCTAAAATTAATGTTAAAATTCGGAATGTCTTAGAATTGAGATCATACTTTTTACTTTGAGGTGACGAAGGGACTAAGGATCCTCTGAGACAAGCAGATCTTGCCATAGTCTCCCACGAAAGCGGGTTACTCAATTATAAATTCAGAAGATTTTTTGACTTCTTGGTTGGACTATCACTAATTAGATAATCAGTGACATGACATAATAAGTGATAATAATACTGATATCGCCATTACTTTGATTCGATCTTAGATATAACCAGTTTTGTTCTCTTCTACATAAGTTTCTATTATTCAATCACCTCACTGTACCATAACTTCTAACTACTCTAGTGTGCCTCGGTCAGTTTTTTTTTTTCTCCCTAAATTGTAGAAATCTTAAAAATTCGCAAAATATTAGATATCTCAACAAGCTGGGAAGCACATATTTGACAATGCATGAACATTACTTTCGGTTTCACGTAAAAATCATACTTCTTCTAAAAACAACTTATTCTACATGAAATAAAATATTTTGTAACTCATGTCCAAAAATTTTAAAAACAGAAATTACTTAAAAAGGGAAAAGCAATTAAAGTTTAAATGGCGTGTATAATTAGCTACAATATATAAATGCCTTAATATCTCCATTAATTTTCAAAAATTTCTTATAAAATTCCGTATGCAATGCGCCTCATATTTAAATAGCTGATAGCTATTAGCTTGGAACGCGAAAAAGATAGGTTTCTTTTATCAAAAATAAAACACTGTCCCCTCAAGTTTTTAATATATTGTAAAAAAGTTATTGACATCGTCGTTACCTTTACCCTTGTTCAAAAAAGTTTCGTTTCTCGCTCACTCACAAATTCAATTTCTTTTCTCGTGTTTTGGGAGCCCTCTGCTTTCATTTAAAATAATGTTCATTATTTTTATAAGGGGATTCGATTAAGTATGTAAATATTCATTCTCAGATTATATGTTAATATTACCAGAATTGTTAATATTTATCTATCTGAGATCCGGTCTTTAAATAATATCAAAAAAATGCGATTTTTACTACATGTGTAGAAAAGGTTAACTTTTGGATGAGATAAAAAAATTAATTAATATTAATTAAAGTTTTAATATTTTTCAATTTTTATATAAAAAATATAAATTCTAGTCTTTAGCACTTCTCGCATGCTCTATGATATTTTTATTATGCATTTTTTTTCCATTTTGAGCATTGAGCAAAATTCAGAAAAAATTGAATAATAAGATTTTTATGTGCCATATAACAACCCAAAAGATTTCTACTATCAAATATCTTTACCCTTTCTCATAATTTCACGTTATAATTAAATACTTCCAACGCATAAAGGTAGAACGAATTATAATTTTATGTAAGCAACCACTTTCTGAATGGCATAAAAAAAATTCAAATTAAAGTAAAACATTTGTACCAAACGTTGCTAGATATATTGGATGTTGGATATAAAAAAATAAAGTATGCTAGAGAAATTTTTAACATTCTGTTAGCCAGGCTAACTAAATGTTAAGTTATTCTAAGTTATTGTGTTCAAATGATTAATTAACTCGTTTTAAAATTAGTTACAGTATAAATGTTGGTAAAATGAGTGGTATTACAAAATCAGATAATGTAGATCACTTTACCGTATAAGTTTTTTTTGTTCATTCTTGTTTATTATACTCAGTTTATAACATCATTACATTTCTATTTCTTTTTTTCTCTTTCTTTTTTTTTTGTATAATTTTTGAGGATCTTGATTTTGGCGCAGATGGAGCACCGGTGTTATAACACTCGAATTACAAGCAAAAGTGTATTTTGTATTCTTTAATTATGAAAAAACAAGTCTAATAGTTATTAAAAAAACCCCGTTAGAATATCGGAATTGCATTTGTACTAAAATATTAAATCCAAAAAAAAAAAAGTAGTTTGAGAAAAATTTTCATTCATGTTCAAAAATTTATCAGTAGCTGATTTTGTTAATTTAAAAACTTCAATGATGAATAACTGCTTCTCTTAGATCTAAATTACTGCACATTTGAAAAATTATTGCTAGGAAGTGAGCCGCGTTTTGAACATTTTACCTTTAACTCAGAAAAAGACACCGGTGTTTCATGCTGCATTTCATATAATCATACATTATTAAAATGTTTTTTTTTTTAATTTTCCAATGCCCACCTGTGCTAACATTTTGTCAATTCAGGCATTTACAGGGTAGACTTGTTGACCATTCTTTCAGGGGCACCATATTAGGTGGGTAAACACAGTAAGGACAGATAGTACAGATAATGAAAAAACATCCATGCTTGCCCCGGGATTCAAACCCAGTACCAGAACCTTTCTAATGCAAGGCCAGTTCAAAATAAAAATCTCTGAAATCCTGATAAGTAAAATATTTAGTATATTTTGCAATAGTTATCAGGAAATTTGCATTTCGTAAAATCTACTGGATTTTTTTTCCTATCCATGTTGGCAGCTATGATATTGTCTAATAATATAATAAACGAGTTCGATTGTTTGTTTTTGTGCAGTAAAAAGAAAAGAAAATTAGCAGAATCGTTTGACAAGCGATTTTTTTTTTCTCTTGCAGTCGAAGGTGTGGAAGATTGTGACGTAGGTAAACAGAGGCGATGCCGGCAGGTCCTCGTTACGGAGCTCGATAAGCAGAGTCATGCAGCCAAAGATCTCGAACTTCAATGCAGGTGAGTGTGTTGTGTGGGTCTCAAATGAAGGTCACGCCAAGGGAAGTCCTCTCGGTCGAGATTCCAACCACGAAATAGGAAGAAATAGCGCAAAAAATGGATAGACTATTTAATTTCTTAGTCTGTTATCAAAACATGCTTTAATTTGGACATCAAAGAAACACTTAGTGGCGATCCCCGCTGCTTTATTTCTATCCAGCTATACGAATTTCCTAACTACGTTAATTAAAAATAACTTGATTTTTTCAAAAGATTTTATAGCTATTCTATAAAGAAATGGGAATCTTTTAATTCCTTAGTCTGTTATCAAAACGTGCTTTAATTTGGACATCAAAGAAACACTTAGTGGCGATCCCCGCTGCTTTATTTCTAGCCAGCGATACTAATTTCCTAACTACGTTAATTAAAAATAACTCGATTTTATCAAAGGATTTTATAGCTATTCTATAAAGAAATGGGAATGTCAGCTATTAAAAAATAAAGCTTAATAAAAAAAAGTTTTTAAAAATAAATCATGAATATGAAGTTTTGTGACTATAAAGGATAACCTTAGAGACTAGGTTTAAGAGAGGAAAAAGAAGCCTTAAAACTATAAGATAACACGCAACTAAATCAGAGGTATGCAACTTTTTTGATGATATCGATAAGCAATTTACTTAATTGATTTTTAAGCGGAATTATGATTTGGTTAAGAAGAAAAATAAGACTAAAGTCTGAAAACTTTTCCCGATAAACTAACCGTTAAACTATGAAGTCAATAAAAAGTATATATTTACGAAATAATAATATTTCGTGAAAATGTATATAATTACGATCATTGGCTACGATATAATAATAGGCCGAATTTTGATCAAAAATATAATTTTTACATTAAAGTGTTCATTAATGTTGTTTCTAGATATATGTGCTTTACAAGTTTTCAGAATTTTTACTCAATGAAAATACAATACACAAAATAATCATTACAAACATGACATCTTAGGACACTTTTTTTAAAAATCTTAATATGATTTGATTTCCGAAAAAAAAGAAGTAAAAAGTAAATACTTTAAAAACTCCATTTTTAAAAATGTACATACTACTAATGCATGCACTGTTACTACTAATTTACTTAAAATACATAATCAGTTTTAAAAATATTGGATCATATACACCAGCATTTCCTTTTAAAAATACAGATACAGTTTCGAACAGATATATAACAAGATGAGGTAAAATTGTTAAGCGATAATTTTCATTTTTTGGTTTGCTAAAACTAAGCAGCGTTTGAAACTTATGATTAAACTCATTATATATTACTCAACATTTTAAAGGCACTGAAATATTTCTGAAAGAAAAATCTGCTGAAAATAACTAGCCGAACTTCTATAATTACATTTGGGGAACAAATGTATTGTTGCATTCATACAAATACTTGATCTTGCTTAATTAAATTGTAGGGATTTGAAATCTGAAATAAGTTTTGCTCCTAAAGCTGTAGATTTTTTATACGACATTTATAGTCTATTTTCTGTCGAAATGTACAAGTTTAAAAACGTTATATATAACGGTGTAACGCAAATATTGCGACAAACTTCCAGGGGAATCAGGGCACATAATCAAGATTAAAATTGAGTAGGAACCTATGCCCGGATATTTCGGCATTTGCGGCTAGGGAAGCTTCCTTATTATAACTTGCTCAGAAGCACACTAAGAAACAGTTCATAATAGGGAAGCACCCCTAGTGGCGTATCGTGACATTTCCTGGCATGGGGTTCCTATGTAATTTTAATCCTGATGACGTGCTCTATTTCTTCTAGAAATTTATCGCAACATTTATGAGACCTCTTGTAATACATAAACCTTTTTAAACTTGTACATTTCGACGAAAAATGTCAGTTTAAAAATCTGTAGCTTGGGGACAAGATTGCAGATTTGAAATCAGTGATAAAAAAGTGACTTCATTTTGTTAAGAAATTCTAATACTACAAAAAAAATTGTTTCCCCGTGTCGATGAAATGAAACGATCGATATTACGATTTTAGAATTCTTTATAAATAATAATGTAATAAACATTTTCAATAATAATTTATAAAATTAAACTAACTATATTTCTTCCGTTACACTACATACTTCTATTTCGAGAACACAAATTAACTACAGTTAAGATGCATTATTGTCATCTGAGATATTTTATTAATTTGTATCTGAAATTGTCAAAGTCAAAATTTTTTGAAGTGTGCGTTCTTTTTCCGTGAGATTTCCCACACAAAGAAATCATATTATTTTCCATCTTTCAAATCCTCCGCCAAATAGGCGTGGAATCTGCCAATGAGTATAATCAAACAGTGGTTGCGGAGGGGAATTATTTCAGCATGTGAAAGATAATAATGATTTTCGCTTGAGAAACCCCCTTCTTTTCTTCGGGATCAATGATCGCCAAAAGAACGCGAAGTACTTTCGAACCGTTGTTTATGAAACAGTATTCTCGTGACTAAAAAGATACCGTGTGGCGCAGGTCACATAATTCACGTCAGAAAATTTCGAGCTTGGCGAAAGTAAATAATAAATAATTAAAATTATTTCAAAATTAAGTATTTCTTTGTAGTTAGTTTTAAATATGTTTCGAATACCTAGAATCAAGGAACCAAGTTTTTCAAGCTGCCAGTGAGGAAAAGGGGAATATTGCAGTCATAGAGATAATGGGATAGTGAGCGAGTGAGAGAATATAGATTATCCCTACAATAATTGAAGAGACATTTTCAGTTTTTGCCTTTTTTTATTTTAAGTTTCTCAAGAAATACTCAGAGAATTATTTTCTAGTTTAGAAGTGTTCAGTTCATGCAATTTTTCATATACAACAATTAGGTTACGATATGAGTATTTAGAATAATTCTTTTATAGTGCGCATGCGTAAAAAAAATTATTACTATTTTTTTTTAAATTTCGTAGTGAATTGTATTTGGCAACTAATGATAAAAGTCTGATTTCAATAGCTTAAAAATATAAGAAGTTTCAAGAAATTTTCTGAGTATTTTTTTTTCTGGATCAATCAAAATGATTATGGGTTTTCCACAAATTTTATTTTGCAGTATTCTAAATTACACTTCCTTTTAATAACCGACCGGCAGAAACATATTATATTTGTGAGCAAACCCCTTATCGTTTTGATATTTCTCTTAAAAAAGTACATTTTCATTATTACGTTTGAAAAATTATTAATGACTGGTTTTGTAAATTAAAGATATTGCTATTTCTCTTAGATCTAAATAACTGCGAATAAGTACAAGTTTTAAAAATTTTAATTTCGAAGTGAGCCGTGTCTGGTGGATTTTACCTTTAGCGCAGAAAGCGACACCCGGTATACCATGCTATATTTCATAACTATAAACTATAAAAATATTAAATACTATATTTTTAATTTAATTTGACATAAATTAATAACAAAAATAATGAAAAAGTATGAAAAATATATTTAATGAAAATTTTGCGTGCAAGGGTAAATTAATTCTATTTTGTCAAATAAATTCCTTATCACTTAAGTTTGAAATTTGTTTTATAACCAAAAGGTGGGAAAAAAACAATCTCAAAATATTCAACAATATGCAAGAAATTTAAAAAAAATCTAAATTTATCGTTTTCAATGCAATATTTGAAAATAACCAAAATAGTTAATTAAGTTTTATCTGCGTATTTAAAAAAAAAAAATTTCTCACATTTATGAGTTAACCTTCTTCTTAAACTGTATAATCACTGTATAACTGTATAAAACTGTATAACTGTATAAGTGAAAATCTCATTTTCAGTCATTATTTAAAGCTTGGGTCTCAGAAAGATAGATGGAAAAAAAGAAACACATCCGCTTTTAAGTTGAAATTTGAAACTCCTATCTCTAATTTGCACCGGAGTTAATTGAATTTTCTACCGCATTCCCGTCTCTAATGACGCATCTACACCCGAGTTTAAAATTGCACGCATGCATATTTTTCCCCCCTGGCATCTTTCATTTCGTGTCTGATGACTATCCATTTCCATGTTTTTACCACAATCGTGGGAGATGTTACTGTTTGTATCATGTGATGACAAAAGGGAAGAGGTCATGCCTTTGTGTGAACTGACCCAAGTCGTCGGTCATATGGACACGTAGGACGCCGATATCAAAAAATGAGACATTTTTCTGAGACCAAATTTAGTTCGATTGAAATAAATTTTTTCCATAATGGTGAAGTTTATTACTACGCTGAGCAGAATTCAAGAACGAGTTAATGAAGTCTTGTCATAAGTTATAGAATTTCTTTCGTCGCCTTAAGGGCTGCATAGTGATGCATTCGGTCATCCTAGTTTTTTTCTATCTTGATTTAAAATTTTGACCTCATAATTTCTCACAAGATGGTAAGAAATTGTCAATTTTAGACTAACAAATATCGGCGAAATACGTGATCGAAAATTTCTCGCCGTGAGAAATTCGAAATGTATTGTATAATTTTTCGATTGAAAAAATTAATTTAGACCACGATAAAAACTAATTTACTTGGTAAAAGAAAGCGTAAATATCGAAAAATTGCCCTTTTGGAGTTTGGGCTAAATGTCCTATCAAAAATATTTTTGAATATATTATTTTTGAAGGCGAAGCTAAAAATACATTTCCTTTGACAAATGGAAAATTTACTTCTTATCACAAAAATCGAAAATAAGCCCCCAAGTAATAAAAATGACTATATTTTGGACTCAGACGTGGTGGCTCAGGAAATAGAGCTCTTGCCTCCCAATGAGATGATCCACGTTCGATTCACAGCGTTGGTTGGTCGATACAAATTCTGTTCCCACCTCGCACCAGCCACAGTGCTGACATAAAATCTCCTCCGTGGCAGATGGATCATGAGTAAGAATTCCCTAGCCGCGGACTAACCGTGAGAGGGTTCCGTGGTTTTCCTCTACCTGAAACGCAGAAACGGGTTAGTTCAATCAAAATATCGACCGCGAATGCTACTTTATCAAAAACCTTGACCCAGGACGACATC